CCCCCTCCCCCCTCTCCCGACCTGCGTCTGGGCGGCTTCATTCCGTTGGAGGCGTGACGTCTCTGAGAGGGAGCGCCTTGCACAGCAGCAGGCAGCCCGAGGTAGGTGAGAGAGCGAGCGAGTGAGCATGTGAGCCTGGGACTGAGCGGTGTGCTAGCCAGAAGGGCCAGGGGACCGGGCTCAGGCCCAGGAGGGCTCTGCAGCCCCCACTCGGTTCATGAGGGGCCCACAGTCCAGCGCCAGGATGGGTGACCACACCCACACCTGCCCTGCTGCAGGGGGACAGTTGGCAGCCAAAGATGGGAGCAGAACCCACAGGCTCTTGAGCTGAATAATTACAACCGGTAGATGTGTCCTCTCTCCCAGGCAAGTGTGGAGCCAGCAGCTGCTAATTACCACCCACCCCAAGATATCTGCCCACCCCACTGTCTTCCTCTGCTTGGCCTAGAACCCAACTTTCCAGTAGGCAGGCCGCACTGGCAGCCTGGGCAGCCAAGCCTGCTGGCTGCTGGTGGAAGGTTATCTCACTTCTGCAGGGTGGCAGCCGCCTTTGCCTCCTGGAGAAGGCATGCAGGGAGCTGGCATCGGAGCTCCAGCCCCACTCACTGGAGCTGCAGAAGAGCTGCTGGCTGTCTTGGCGGGCCTAACGGGGCTTGCACTGGTAGGCAATGGGCCTGGAGCAGTGGACATCAGCTCTCTGTATCTCCCACTCAGCCTGATGGCTCCTGGAAAGAACGGAGAGGGCTCATTTTCTTAAGTGTCACCTCTGCCCTAGTTAGCAGGGAACTATAAAAAATTAAGTTAGAGGTTTTGCTGCCTTTGGTCCTTGTAGAGTGCAGGTTGCTTTTTCTTGTCCTGTGAGCTGTCTGTCTCTCTCCTCTCTGTGTACTGTCTCTGGCTTCCATCTCTCTGCTGCCTCTTAGATGAACCTGAGGCTGGTAGCTTCTCCTTCACAACCAGTTCCTTCTCCCTGCCCGCCCTGGGGGTTTCCGCCTCAGTTTCCTGCTTCTCCCTCCACCTGGCTTGCCTTGCCTGAGACTGCTCCTGAAAGGGAGGCATGTCGGTGGAACTTGCTTAGAAGAGAGGAAGCCTGCTACCTGGCAGCCAGCCCACTCTGTGGCCCTGCCCACCTCCCCCCGACCGACCCACAGGCCCAAGAGACTGTTCCAGTCTGTCCGTGTTTCTCTTGGCTCCTTGGAAAAACGAGCACCACAAGGATAGTAAAAATCACCCCTTAAATTAAAGCTGATGACTGTCGTCGAAATGTTTTATTATTAACTTCGCCATTTAGCAATCTCTTGGCAGCAGTGAGGCATAAATATATGTGTACACACGTATATTAAATAAATTGGGGAACGAAGTGCATAATGACATTGTCTGGACCCCATTCAATTAAGGTAGATATTATCTGTGGTAATTGGGAAATGCCAGCCCATGCCATTTGGGGCCGAGCCACGCTGACAGGCAGGCTGTGGTGTCTAGTTAAGGCTCTCAGTTCTCCTGAGAAGGCACTGGCCACCCATCGGCTGTGATGATGGTGAATCCCAGGAGACCTCCAGCAGCTGTGCTCCCCAGGCTGGGCCACCTGCATGGGAACCAGGAGGTCTGTGTTCCACCCAGTCCCTCACACTTGGCCGTCCCAGCCACCCCCTGCTCCTTAGGGTGACACAAGCTAGCCCCTGGATCTGTTTCCTGGTTGGGGCCATAATTTCTAGTCAAAACTCTGCCATTGCTGCAGGGTTATTTTTAGG